TCCAAAGTATTACACTGCTTCTCTCTCTTTTGTACAACACACTCAGACTCCCCCTTAGTACACCTCCCGCGCCAGCCACCGCAACATATTCGGCACTGCAAGAAAGCATTCACGGACCAGCCGCGCCAGTCATCACCTACCATGGGACTGAAGAAAGGTACTTGACCTCCTCAGCAGCGTTAACGGGGTCTGGAATTACATTCGGTTTGACAGCCGGAATCAGAGCTGCACACATCTCCTGACCATCAATTGCTTCCGGGACTAGAAGTTGGAACACTGGTCTAAAGCAGTTGTTTAGCAAGAAAGACGAGATCAAATACAGTCCCGTACATAGGGCGACCCGTAGCGTCATTTCCGACATCTACACGGGGATGTAGTGAGGAGAATTCCGACACGAAACTCTTCCAGACAGTTCACGATGGCGTCGCTTGTCTGTGTAACGCAGGTACAGGGTGGTTTTAAAAGCAGACATCATTCCCAACCCTTTTATTGTGACGACTTCAGAGTTTCTCCCCCCTCCGACGTGTATGCGCCCCCTCTACACCGTAGACATGCCACGAACGGTGAGTACTAGGATAGAGGTGGTTAGAAAGTGTCAGGTTCGCTTTCCGCTGCCACTAATGTGGCGTCCAGAGAATTCTGACTAGGTAGAAGGCATTACGCTGCACTGAATGCATGAAACCTAGGGAGAGGGAAAGGAGTAAGGTTTGGGCTTGGCCGAAGACCAACTCACGTGTACAAGGGTTAGGCGAGTAACAAAGTAACCGCCGGACATGGAGTGGTCACACAAACAAAGTGTTTCACAACAATTCTGCGCAATCAACATTAAAAAGCAAAATTTCTCGATTCTCTAGAGTGCAAAGCAATAACCTGCCAGATGTACCAATAAATTTCGGTCTTAATGGTGCTTCTAAATGGTCGGCAGAGGAACTTCATTACTACACACATTCAACAGAGCGCGCAAAACCGCTCATAGGCAGATTTTGTAACTGGTACATGGAGCAAAAATGTCGAAATAAACATGGCATTATTTTTAAAGGTGTGCGTGTGGTATTACATTGCTACTTTAAATTTAACTACACGTTCGAAAACTAATATCCTTAAATTTACTGCCGAAATTTTCTCTTCATAAATTTTGCACTGCGAGCTAGCCCTTTTTATTTCCTGGCCCGTGCTTTCACTCTGTGGTTGATTTGAATGGTTTGTTTGTCCTCTGGTTCAACATGCCTTATAAGATTGTTACATTTATTCATTCTTCTGCTAACAGCATTTGTATTCATCCGGGTCTGGCTCTGCACAATTTTTTTGATTTCTATGATTGATGGGAGTATGCGGTTTCGTGTCTAAGCTCAGAAAAGGAACTTGATTCGACTCTAGTTTTCTTTCTTAAAACGTTTGGGCTTAATTTGTTAGTATACCAAACGCATTGCATTTTCTTTGCAAGGACTGCCCGCTGACACTGCTTAACTTCACATCCGACCTTCGCGTTCTTGTTCGGAAGTTCCCTCGTTCCCTTCCTTCAAGAGAACAGTTTTTTCAAAATGGTACTGCTTCGCCCTTGAGCGAGATCAACTTACAAACTGAACTCCTTGCATTGGCTGCCTTTAATCAGCTCGATACTCAGAACCGAAATTCAGACCTCAACTTAGCTCTTAGGAGTTTCCTTGCGTCTTGTCGGAAACTCTTTTTTTCTCAGGAGGATAAAGCTGCTTTGGCTTTCTTTGGTGGACTGGGGTTCCTTGTCTTTCGGTCAATGGAAAAAAAGGCATCTGTGAAGAGCTTCCGTGCTCAGTCAGACGTTCAACAACGCCTGTCTGATATCTGCGATCTCCTGGGTGTCAGCATCAGTTCAGCCGATCAGCTTGGTAACCTTATCCATGACCTTCGGCAGGTTATCTTTGTTTTGGGGACAAATTCTCATGTGGATAAGATGGCTTTGCTGGCACTCTTCCGGCGAGCTTGGTGCGAAGTCGGCGGCTTGGATAATGGGGACTCGGACTTTCATGTAAAAAATCTAAGTAATAATGACTTCGGGGAAGTGGAGGCTGCCCAAATTGTTGACCTTTTCTCGGTCACATCCATGCCGTTGCTTAGTGAGGGTGGTAACGGTCTCGACGCTCTCGAGTATGTCCATATTTCACCTACGTTTTCTTGCTAGTATCGCAATGAGAAGGAATGTAGAGGCCTCGATTCGACAGAACCAATTGGCGAGGTCACTGAAGAATAATTATGTAAAGCCAGATGAGTGGGCACGACTGAGAACTTTTCTAGAACCAGTTTGTAAGAATCTCCAGATGAGTATTATCCAGGTTGTGGATATGGTCTTCAAGGTGTTGAAATCTGAAAGTTCTGATGACTCACTTCAGAGTGAGGTGAGTTGACTCGTTGTATAGTTAGCTTGCACAGTTTAAACTTATCTATTAAAGGAATTTTTCTACAGCTGATTGATTTGATGGGTTTTGATCAATTCGACGTCGTGTCAACTCTCATTCGTGAACGCGCTAAGTGGCTCAAGTGGCACAGCTGGTACTTGGCTCATAAGGATGCTCTCACAGGAACTGAGAGAACTACTTCCATTGTTAAAAAAACATCTAAACGCAAAGCTAAGGTACGTCTGGTATCTTTTTGCTCTCTAAATCCTTTACTGAATCAAAACCTTTTGTTTTTATACTACCTGTATCTGATAATCAAGTGGATCCTCAACTGTTCCAATATTTTAAACCTATGATTAAAATGTCTTGATGTTATTGTTTCTCAATTCATAAAAACCAAGTGTGTCTTCGATATTAAGTAGCAATGTGGTTGGTTGCCAAAGGCGACACTGTTGAATCCACATTGCAATGAGAAATAAAGTGATTGGCAAGCTATCGCAGTACTGAAATTAAGCCGTCGAGTGAGGTCAAAGCTAGTGGTCGCTGATGCAAATTGGGATAATCTATTAGGTGTCACATTGTTAAGGCTGATAAAATTGATTAACTCTGTCAATATCTAGGTAATGATTTCATCGCGATTCCTCAGTGGTTCTCATCTTCTTCTCATTTCGTTAAAATATGAGGACCTTGGAGTTTGTTCGTGGATCCTCTCCAAAGGAACATGCTTTCGGAAACAGGGGTTTCATCTTCTCATCATTCGGCTGAGACATACTTCGAGTAGACTACTATTATGGCGATAGTAATGCGCATGTGTCCCAACTGCTTTGCAGGCTGTTTAGAATATCGTGTACACATTTCACTGCTAATCAATTTGCTCATTGTCTAATTTCTATTGCTTATGAGAGCTGGATTGTCGTGGAACGACATTATGACCACAGTCTCAACTTCTAAGAAGGATCTTTCACTTTTTCATTGACATTCATGGCTACGATGTTCCCGATCGCTAGCAATTTCAATAATGTTTTTCCCTTGTTCGTTCTCTTCTTAGGAATCTGAGCTCAAAAATAAGAGTGATTCAATATTGAACGGATTTGATTTGGTAGAGCAGTTACGTGAGGACCCAAAGGTGCTGGAAGATTTTCATCATGCCAAACGCCTTGCTGCCGCGACTCAGGCTCAGATCGTTGCCAGTGAGGCTTACTATCGTGTGGCTGCTGCTGTTAATAGTCAGCAGTCGCCTTCCATGGTCCTCCCATTCGTCTTTGATGCTATGGCTGAAGTAGTGAACGCACGACCTACCATGCCCTCTAAGGTACGTCTTTCGCCAACAGTCTTGAGAAAACCAGATTTTTTTGAATTTTGGGGGCTCTAACGTGAAAACAGCGGTGCTTGTATCTCATGAAACAATTCATCTTTCTATTTTCCTGGCGTTCTTAGACTATAAAGAACAGAACTAGACGCTGACCAGCTGATAAACATAGCACATTACAGCACTTTTATCAGTTCTGTGAGTGCGATAGTGGTGGTGGACAGTGAGCAGTTAAAAATAGCTCTATGAGAAGCGTGATGGGTATAGCGTTTCCATATTGGATGCCAATCTGTGGTACATAATATCTCTTACACTTGTGTCTTAACTCTCGTGCAACTATCACCAACTGTGGGTTTCGCATCTTCATAATGGGCGTTATTCATAATGTGCTATTCTATGTCGACATAAAGTACCAGGTGCTTATCTTTTTTTAGCCATGGTGTCTGAGCTTACCCTGGCACCGCATTTACATCATAATCTTAAGTTTTTTAGCTTATGGTTTTAATTACTTCATCTTAGCGTCCATTTTATGTAAAATATGCAATCTCATGGATGTGTTTATAGTATACCTTTTTTCATTATGTAACTCGATAGATGGTCTTACCGAATGACGTGAAAAGAAGGCGTACACCCCATTGGGAGTCGTATGAATTCCCTTCGCCAAATGTGCTGGGTGATTCAGAGGTAACATTGCTGGATTTGGTTCGGAAGCACCTACCCAACGGCGGTTCACTGGTAGAGGTGAGTTCTCTCGATCACATCGCTCAGCTGGCCTTCAAAGGCATACGGCGACTCAATCTTGTCCAGTCGGTGGTCTTTGACACTGCCTATAACACAGGGGAAAATCTCCTAATCTCGGCACCCACAGGATCGGGTAAAACAAATACGGCGATGCTTGCCATTCTTCAACTTATTCGGCAGCACATCAACTTTGAGTCTGGCGTACTGAAGACGGACAACTTCAAGGTAGGCTCAACTTCTGGAATTGAGGTTTACGTAAGACAAACATATGCTCTGGGCGATCTTTGGTTAAGATTTTTCCTGATCTACTTGTAGTAGCATGGTATTTATCACAGTAAGCTCGAGAATTGTCTGGTAGAGAAGTTTTTGGCTTGTTTTTATTCGGGCTTCGAAGTTGACTTCTCTTAAACCTTTCCAAATGTACTCATCGTATCCAAAGTCCAAGTAAGGTCTTTTTCAATCTTATCTAATTGGATGCAGTCGGTTCATAACCTTGGCTTACCTGCATTTCCGACAATTGAAGAAGGCTAGTTAAATTACTTATTCACTGACGTTAATCAATTCATTACCCAAATTAACATTCTCTTAACCAGTTAGATGACTATCATTTGCGGATTCGTTAGGAATGGCATGCATTGTAGATAAATCAGTGGCGCTATCGAATCTTGCTAGCGCTAATTTCATATGTGAATTGGAAAGCCCGTATTTTGGCGGGTTTGAATTTTGTTTGGTGGCGTGAGGAGCTGACTAGTGAACTTTTGTAAAGATACATCGGTTTGAAGCTCTTCGACGCATGCGCGTTGGGGTTTTGGAATGGTGCTCATTTCTCTGGCGAGAGGGGTGCTGTTGAATTCTCCGCAGGCTATTCCTTCGCCACTCTATTGAGTAGTTTTTTTCGCTTGAAAACTGACAATTTTGCAACTCACATTGAGGTAATCTGCAGAGTAAAGTGTTTGAAGCTGGTAATATGTCTCCATAGATTGTCTACTTGGCTCCGATGAAGGCACTGGCGGCGGAGATGGCGGCAACCTTCGGCAAGCGTCTGGCGCCCCTCGGTGTGCGTGTAAGGGAGTGTACTGGAGATATGCAGCTGTCTGCTCAAGAAATCCTGGACACTCAGGTAAGCCTTTCTTCGTTGCTGAACAATCCAGGACTGTCATTAAAGTAGTCTGCATCTTTGAATTTGATTAACTAAATACCAAATAATAGCACATTTCATAGCCCCTATGGCATATTAATAATTGCTACGTTTATTTTGCCCTCGGATTTTACTTGTACATTGTACTGCATCGTGTAGCCAATCTGAGATAAAATGCTTCGGAGTAATGACAAGGTCTTTTCCTCCAGAGATGTTTAGACTTGCGCTTTCTCTGATGTTTTTAACAAATGAATTCGCTAACGTTCTATTCTCTTTTTTTGCAATCCTCTATCACAAAACCGTGAAATATGTAGCTGTATTCCAAGGAGAAATCTTGGCATGATTTCAATCCTTTCCGATTAAATTGATGGCTTAATGGTGGAGGTTAACACAGCTTCCTTAATGGATCGACCCCTTTCACGGATTAGCGCACGACAAGTTGCTTTGGTTAAATAGGGTTGTGATACATGCTTAAATTGCACTAGTAGAGAGGAAATGGCATTCCCTTATTGACAAAGGTGGTAGTGGTTGAAATTGCTGTATTTGCCCGCTAGTTTTGCATATAGCCGTATTGATTAGCTGTGAAGGAGAGATCGTTACAAGTACAAGAGTGAACATAGGCATTCTCACCGATCCGATCAGGTCACTCAATTTAAACATAGTATCTTACAAAACCATCCAAATGGCCCATCATTGCGGTACTTTTTGTGCTTAGGTCAGAAAAGTTAAGGCAAATAATTTTTGTCAATGGTTGCGTTACGGTGGCTATCATTTCACCCCAAGCAAGGAGTTGACAGGAGGGGTTGCTGTATCACCTTATCAAGGGTGAAATACCCAGTCTCTCAGTTACCGCTAGAGTTAACGCTCATTTTGGTCTCTACGACTTTTCATGTTCTTTTGTTTTCGGCTTCCATTGGCCTTGAAAGTGTACTGCTTTTTCACTTTGATCGAGTAAAAAGTACGAAAGAAATGTGTTGATAAACGAATTGATACAGTTAGCTGCTAATGGTTAAATTATAGAAGACTTAGGCGAGGTTAGATCAATGAAAGTTGCAGCATACGTCGTGCTTTCGGCTATACTAAACAGAATTAAGAAAAGGTAATTATTTTTCATTTCATGGAATCGTTCACCTACTCTTTATTTTCGAACTAAACAATCTGTTGGCTGCAGATCCCGTAAAGGTTGAAAGTCATATAGCATGCTTCCATGCTTCCTTTTCTCGCCTTAGATGCTGGTGACAACACCAGAGAAATGGGATGTGATTTCGAGGAAAGGAGCAGGTGATGCATCGCTAGTGCAAGCTCTCCAGCTCCTCATAATTGACGAGGTGCATCTGTTACACGAGGAGCGTGGGGCGGTGATTGAAGCGTTGGTAGCGCGTACTCTTCGCCAAGTAGAGGCCTCGCAGCGCCTTATCCGCATTGTTGGACTCTCCGCCACCCTGCCAAACTACCTCGACGTTGCTGCTTTCCTTCACATCAATCCTCACCGCGGCCTTTTCTTCTTCGACTCCCGTTTCCGTCCTGTGCCCCTTGGTATGGCTTTTGTTGGCGTGCGGACCTCTATCCCCGGCATCTCCGCCGATCTCCTCATGAATCAGGTCTGCTACGAGCGCGTCATTGAACAACTACGTCAAAATCAACAGGTTTGTTTAATTCTGCTTGGTGGTTTTTCCACATTATTTATTCATTGGTTGATTTTGCTTCTTGTCTGACTATGGTGTTTCTTCCGTAGCTCATTAAATCTTTCCAAAGGCTTAGTTACTTTTTTAGCCTATGAATATCAGTATTGTGGAAGCGCTGGTAGAAATAGCTTGAAAAGCCGACAGATGGTAGGTAAAGATGAAAGTGCCTGTTTCACTGTGTTCATTAACGTGTATTTATTAAACTAATTAACTTCAGTTTTGTAATAATTTTCAATGCACTAGGAGATCGAACGGGAACGTTTTGCTTCCTGTATTAATAACAAAGCGATCATGGCTGACTTGTCCTTAAGTGATTTGCTTGTAACGCTGCCGCAACTGCTCTAGATACGAGAATCCGTTGCACACTGGACATTTTGATCATTCGACGATCAAGGCTCTTGGTGAAAAAACCTTAGTAGCCAATCATGCCAAGTTGAGCGGGTATTTTTGCTGCCTCGGATGACTCTTGAGTAGTCCCTCCCTCGGAGGTCATACTGCCTCATTTGAGCTTCTCCAACATCCAGTGTTTTATTCTTGTGGACAACAGAGGTACATTGATGTCAAGCAGCTATTAAAACAATCAATAACGATATGGATGCTGCAGCTTTCGTGTATTCTCTAGGGCATGGCGGGAGCTTTTGAGGCTACAATTGTAAATATGACAGAGCTCAAAACCTAAGGTATAGAAGATTAGAGCTGTGGTCTGTTTTCCCTGCATCTGATTCGATCCTTTAATTTTACTTCAGTCTTAGCGCCCGTGAATTATTAGCACTTACTTGTTTTTAAGCTTGCAGCCCAATTTTATCGGTTATCGGTATTGATTGGCTAGTCTTCTTGGGCGTTGTACACGTAAAAACACGTGCATTTTCTGCACTTTTGTTTCTATGACACTCCAGAAATGATAAATGAAAGTGATTAGGATATAATTTAGTAGATTTAATCCCTTTCTCAATGAGTTATTTTACCCTATTTCTACTTCCCTGGAATCTTTGTCTATCTTCTATCGATCATTGAGTGTCCCAGATTCTGTGGAGGGGTTGTAGCCAGTCTATTGAAGGATCTCTGTTTCATAGAGAAATATCCTGTCTAGATTTTAAGAGGATCAGAGGCAAACTGGTATCCTCTTTGACACGGTATTATTTAACTGCGATTGAAAGCATTAATCTTGGTGAACTGCTAGAGCTCTTTTGTTTTCAACCTGTTTATACAGGTGATGGTTTTTGTGCACGCTCGAGGCGAGACAGCGCGCACAGCACGATGGCTGTTGGATAAGGCCAGCCAGTCCGGTGACTTGGAGTACTTCCAGGTCCCACCAAACTGCAAAACATCTGATTTCATCAAACGGGTAAGCAGTTGACTGTGTTGTTTTATTAACAGACTGCGAAGTAGTGAGAAACTCTGAAAGACTTGGCAGTTTTCACTGTCATCAACTAGTTGAAACTCACAGTATCCCTTGGTGTTGCATTTTACAATCGTTTTGGGTTCAATACAATGTTGTAAAATGACTCGAAGTCAAAGATGTTCAGATATTCAAACTCTGATCCTTTTTTGTTGACTAATGAGGATGCTAAAAGCAATCAGAATTCATTAGTGTTGCACATTGACTCAGGAACCTCTTCTTTATAACTTCCTTCAAAGACTGCTCGAGTCTCGGACCTTGCACTACGGGAATTGGCCCCTCGAGGCGTAGGCTGTCATCACGCGGGAATGCTTCGACCCGACCGCTCCTTGGTAGAGCGCCTCTTTGGGGAGGGTGCTCTGAGGGTACTAGTGTGTACCGCCACTCTTGCCTGGGGAGTCAATTTGCCTGCTCACGCAGTGGTCATAAAAGGCACTCGCATTTACGATCCCGACCGTTCAGATTACGTCGACCTCGACATCCTTGATGTTCTGCAGGTGTTTGTTTCTCTCATCTTACAATCCCTGATTCGTCGACTTACTCTTTTGATGCAAACCTAACACGTCAATGCTTTTAACTGGTATCGGTTAATCCCTGCTTTGATGAGCTGAATTACAACTGATTATAAATCTACCTCGCATCTAGCCAGTCTATTAGTGGAGGGGTTGGGGTTAGTCTCCTCATCTGAGTCTAACTTTCAGCATGTTTATGATTGATAACATTGGCAAGTCAGGAACTAGACCGATTTGTTCTTACTCTAATTGAACGACCGGAGTCTCTTTATAATTTGGATAGCCAACTAATTCATTGAGTGACTTATCAAGAATTGAACATTTGAATCTGCAAGTTCTTGTTTGATCAAGCGTATGATATTTCAGATCTTTTGTCCTTGGTTCAGGTTGTAGAAATCTAATTGTGTCAAGTTCAACTATTGGAAGCTATGCGATGATCCCGAACTCTTAAGCGCTTTATTATAGACTTAAGTTGTTGAAGGAACATCTCGGAGTCCTTTCTTTGCGTGGTGTTCAAAAGTTGTTTCCATTTATCAAAGGCCTTTGGATAATCGAAATCCATCCATTACGACTTCGTGGAACACTGCGATCCTGCTGGGTGTTTGGACCAAACGTATAAACACCTATGCTTGCTTTACTCATGTGGATGAGCACATTAGTAGCTTCATGGCAGTGTGTGTACTAATTGGGTGAAACTATTGTTTGAACGATAAATTACGATATACTAACCTCCAGACTAACACGTAAACCATAAAGTAGCCATTTCTGTCTCCAAACCTTAATGCTATATTCCTTTTAGTGTATTTTATTTCATTAAGCCGCTACGTGAACCTCGTTGATCTTCTTAATTGTCATCTAGGCTTAATGAAACCTGGATTTGGCTTGTTTTACCAGCAGACGTGTAACGTGCACTTACATCTTTTGTTTCGCAATTGCCTTGTTCAGATTTTTGGGCGTGCGGGTAGGCCTCAGTTTGATAAGTTCGGATTGGCTACGATTATTACAACGCAAGACAAGTTGGATCACTACGTTCGCCTTGTAACCAATCAAATTCCGATTGAAAGCAACCTACTGAAAAATCTCAACGATCATCTTAACGCCGAGGTAAAATGTTATCCATTGCTACTGTAGCTTCTTACAAAATGCTTTCTGACTATTTATAATGGAAAAGTTGGCGTGGTTTTCCTCAGATTGCCCTTGGGACAGTATCCACCGTATCTGAAGCGGTAGCATGGTTGTCTTACACCTATCTTTTCGTCCGACTCAATAAATCTCCCCTCCATTATGGTATCACCCCAGCCATGCTCTCGGTACGTTTGGTCGCTTGTCAAATGGACTGCCAAAATAGTATCAACGAAGTTTTAATTCTCGCTTAGGAGGATCCAGATCTGACGCATTTTCTTACCAAAGTGGTTGAGGAGGCGGCGACAGCACTAGACTCTGCAGAGATGATTCGTTTCGAGCCTTCAACAGGACAAATGGCTTCCACTGATCGTGGGCGTACGGCATCACTCTACTACATCAGTTACGCCACTGCGGCCCTCGTCCGCGAGCGCCTGAATGCGTTGATGCGATTGCAGGACCTTATCGGACTAGTTGCAGAGGCCTCTGAATTTGCGCAGATGAAGGTGCGCGACGAAGAAGAGGCTGAGTTGCAATCACTCTACGACAATGCTTGTCGGGTGGTAATAAAAAATCCCGGCACGGTAGAGGGGACCCTGAGTGTCAAGGTTAATGTGTTACTGCAGGCACACATCTCGCGGGCTCGACCGACCACTCACTCCCTCGTCTCAGACATGTTTTATGTGCAGCAGAATGCAGGAAGATTGGCGAGATATATTTTTGAGATCGCACTGAGACTCACGTGGTCTATTTGCGCCACCTCTGCGCATTGCCTATCCAAAGTTGGTTGCTGGAGTTTCATCCTTCCCTCTTTCTTTTCATCTCCTTGACTCATTGCAAAATTTTATAGATGATTGAGCATCGACTATGGCACAATGAAACCCCGCTTTGGCAATTCATTGATGTGAATGTGGATAATTGCCACTTATTGGATCGGGTAGACGATTTGTCTCTGCGTGTTGACAAAATTCGGGATTTGAATCCCAGCGAGCTGCGTAGGTTTCGCACTTTGATAGTTATTTCATTTGATTCAATTATTTTAAATCTCCCTTGCAATGTATTCATGCGCGAAGTAGCAGACATGGTCTCAAAGGTCTTACCCAAATTTATTTTCTGCTTTGCTTCTGATCACGCTCTTCTGAAGGTCACTGTGACAGTATTGCAGCGACTTGAAATTGGCTTTGAAGTCTTTTTCGCCGCATTTGGAAGGTCTTCAATTTCAACGATAGCCATGCCTCTTGTAGATTTTAGTATGCTTCCTTATTAGTTTAGCAGTTAAGTTGCCTATGAAGACGCCATCATTAGGACAGTTGCACCTGAAAGCACTTTTCAGAGTACCCAGGAAGGTCCATCACGACTGCTTCAGTCCATTTCCATTCATTTTCTTTTGGGACCATATTCTCAAGTTATACAAAGTTTTTTTCACTGCATTGGTTCTAATTTCTCACATTTTCTTCCATTCACTAGGTGACATTCTGCATTATCAAGGCATTCGTGGAGCTGAGTACGTCTGCCGACTGGCCAGTTATTTGCCATTCCTCACACTAACTGTAAGTGCCCAACCAGTCACTCGCAACATCCTCCGTATCACTGTCAAGCCTACTGCCGACTTCACCTGGAGTGATCGCCACCATGGCAACGGTGGTGCTTTGCTCTACTGGTTCTGGGTAGAGGATTCTGACAGCGCCTGCATTTACCACTCGGAGGTCTTCGCATTAACCAAGAAGATGGTTGGTCGAGGCTCTGCATCAGAATATTTGCTGAGATCGTGCATTTTATTAGTTTACCTAGCTTGATTTCGTTTAGATGGCAAAGGCGAAGGATGGGCCCCTCACAGAACTTGTCTTCACAATCCCTCTCCACGAACCTCTGCCATCACAGTACCTCGTCCGCTGCATATCGGATCGATATTTAGGTGTGGAAACTCTTGCTCCCGTTCATTTGCGCAACTTCATCCTCCCTCAAACTGACCCTCCTCACACTGGTAGGCGACTATTTATTCTTCATTTAAACTGATTTTCAATTGGAATCAAGTTGAAAGTAATCATCGAGAAGCTCCATTTTCTTCAACTCGTAGATCTGCTGCCATTGGATCCATTGTCAGTAAAGGCACTGAATAACCGACAATACGAGGCACTCTATTCCTTCACACACTTCAATCCCATTCAAACGCAAGTCTTTCATACCCTATACCACCAAGATGTCAACGTGTTACTGGGAGCGCCGACTGGTTCAGGAAAAACGGCGATGGCCGAACTCGCCATTTTTCGTGTTTTCAATACGGCACCAGAGAAGAAGGTAAATAACTTCGTTTTGTAGATTTGTTTCTTTTCTAGTGTGTCTACATTGCTCCACTGAAGGCGCTTGTACGAGAACGGGTGGACGACTGGTCCATTAAGCTCGGGAAAAAACTTGGGAAGCGGTAAGTTGATATTGGTCAGAATGTGTGCCAATTCATTCTATTTTCTCTGAATGGGATGTCAAATCGCTTTCGCTACTTACTTTGTTATTATTACTGACAGATTGGTAAGCGTAGAATTATGTTTACACAGGCATTTTAACAGCCAGCTTGAGCATTGCACCATTTCAATACATGCAGTGTAGTTGAACTGACGGGTGATGTGAGTCCAGATGCCAGTCTCCTGAGAAGCGCGGATGTGATCGTTTCAACACCAGAGAAGTGGGATGGTGTTTCACGAAGTTGGCGGCAGCGCAACTACGTCCGCCAGATTGCTCTTATTGTGATCGACGAAATCCACATGGTGGGGGAGGATCGGGGCCCTGTCATCGAAGTGAGTTGGGTCACTTTTTTTCATCGCTAGTAGTGTGATTGGTGAACGTGCAAGTTCACCAGACTTGTCCTTCTAATCTTCGAGGTCTTATACTTCCCTCTTTTAGGCGATTGTATCGAGAGCAAATTTCATCGCAAACCAGTTGAACACACAAGTTCGAATCGTGGGACTATCGACTGCTCTAGCTAATGCGGTGGACATGGCGGTATGGTTACGGGTGCCTCTCATTCCACTTGGTGCAGAAAATGGCTGTAGTGGCCGCGGGCTTTTCAACTTCCGACCTTCTGTTCGCCCGGTGCCTTTAGAAGTTCACATTCAGGCCTTTCCCGGTCGTCATTACTGCCCTCGAATGGCTCTAATGAATAAGCCTATTTTCCAAGGTAAGACCTCAGTGTCTTGAATTCATCTAGATTTCTTCACTGTTTGATGTCACCTATCGCAGCTTATTTGTTTAATGCACTTGGAGCAAATCAGTCCTACGAAATGCAAAATGCAAAATTTTTAGCAAACAAATTTTTTTTTGGCGCGAACTGGTTTGGTCATGGTTCAGATCATGCAAGGTTTATAAGCGGGCAGAAGACTTACGCCTGATTGAAAGGAGTAAATGATTTTAGTAGCAATGTTGGGGAAATTGTGGTAGTTGTATGCATCCTGCTCAGGAATTGAGGCAAAGGTGATCCAAGAAGGAACAGAAATTGTTAAAAGTTCGATTAATCGTAACAATTGTCAAGCAAACCCGGCTTATAAGCATTTACTATGGAAGGCGTGTTACTAATACTCCTTGGTTACTCGACCTAACAGCAATTCAAAGTCACTCGGCAACCAAACCGGTGTTGGTTTTCGTGGCAAGTCGGCGGCAGACACGACGCACAGCATTCGACTTGATCACTCATGTCTCATCGGATCGTTCACCGCGTGGATGGCTTCACATGGACGCTGATGAGGCAGGTCTCCACCATTTACTTAGTTGCTGTTGTCTTCTGTTTGCTTACTCTTTTAGATGGAGACTCTGGCATCAACAATGCGAGACCAAAACCTTCAGATAACCCTCCCCTACGGCATCGGTATTCATCACGCCGGCTTGAGGGAAAATGATAGACGAATTGTCGAAGAACTTTTTGTTAATCAAAGGATTCAGGTGATTTTTCTTTTGTTTTTGAAATGTATTGCTCTCGGTACTTCGAATTCCATGGACCTGTAACCATTTTCGAAAATTTGTCCTTCAAAGGTGTTAATAGCCACGTCGACACTGGCATGGGGTGTCAATTTTCCTGCTCACTTGGTAATCGTCAAGGGAACGGAGTACTTCGATGGGAAAACGAAGCGATACATTGACTATCCTATCACTGGTACATCCAAAATATTTGTAGTTCTCCGTTACAATCCTATTTGAGCGGTTTTGATATGGGGTACTTTGGTGCATTTTCGCGACTCCTACTTGAGTTTATGTTTAACCAATGCTGGGGCTACTTTTCGTCATGGGTGACCATCCATCTGTTTCTGAATATAGGCTAATTTGCTGTTCGACTTCATATTAGTTTGTAGGTTCATTCCCTGACCCAAAGATCTTTTTTTCTTTTTTTAAAAAAATCCTCCGAACTGGTTTTATTCTTAAAGCTACTTGAGAATTTGGGAGTAGTCATTCAGTCGAGAAAGCTCAAGTGATAGTTTTTTAGGAGCCGTTTGCTCACACATCAATGACAGGTTGCGTTTGTCCTGGCAGATGTGCTGCAGATGATGGGTCGTGCTGGGCGTCCGCAATTTGATAATGAGGGCAAAGCGGTAGTGATGGTGCAAGACAGCAAGAAGGCCTTTTACAAACGCTTCCTCTACGAGCCCTTTCCCGTGGAGAGCTGCCTTCCTCGCATTCTGCCTGATTACCTTAATGCCGAGGTCGCCTCTGGCAACGTTGCTTCCATGCAGGCAGCCATGGAATGCATCACATGGACATTTTATTTCCGTCGCCTCCTAATGAATCCCAAGTTCGTTTTTTGATATTACCTTCCCAAACCACCGTTTCTCACATCTAAATGGGAGTTTTATGCAGCTACTACCATCTAGAAGACACGAGTGCAGCGAGCGTGAGTGCCTTTCTTTCCTCGGTCGTATCTGATGCGGTGGAGCGATTGATGGACGCTGGTTGTGTTGAGGTGGGCGAAGCTGAAGTTGACGAAACGGATGCGAATATCATCCCCCTCTATCCCACTGAAATGGGTCGACTCGCCTCTTTCTACTACATTTCCCACAAAACCATTTGTCTGTTCTCACAAAGCCTTTCAACCACCACCAATATTGAGGACCTCATTTACATTCTCTCGGTGTGTTTGCTTACTTCAATATAGAACAATCTTTATTGAAATGGAATATGTGGAGTTTATTTCGTTTAGATGAGTGAGGAGTTTGCGGATATCCCCGTGCGTCATGGGGAAGACGAGGTGAATGCGACCCTGGCAGGCGAGATGCCACTGCGATTGCGGGAGTCACCGGAGTCGGGGCACGCGAAAGCGCACCTTTTATTGCAAGCCCACCTCTCGCGGAAGACGGCAGGACTGCCAGTGGCGGACTACATAACGGACACCGCATCGCTTCTGGAACAAATGCCAAGATTGTTGGCTGCGATGTTAGACTGTGCCGCGCTTAAGGGGCATCTGGCGACGGTGTTGCGATGTATTCTCCTTGGGCAGATGATTGAGCGCGCGCTTTGGCTCTCAGACTCACCGCTACTCCAACTTTCCGCCTCCATTGACTCCTCCCATCTTGCAACTTTTCGACTGAGTGAAGACGTCTACGTGGAAACGCTGCCTCAGTTGTTAGAAGTGGCTGGAGCTGCGCCTCGGTTCCTCGGATTGCGAAATGTCATCGGGGACCAACTAGCTCCCGAAATTGTCGAACAGATAAGAAGGGTGCGGACGTGAAAGTGCTGTAGTTTGACAATGAACTTGTGAACTATTCTGGCTAGTTGAGCCGTATCAAATGCGTAGCGTAGATAATCTCCGCTAGAACCGAAGGGCCTTTAGCTCATGATTCCATTCCTGTATATTGTTTAAAGACCATTACTTTTGGTGAAGTGTTTGGGTAGAACGAGACAAAATATTGTACGCAAAGTAGGGCCTTCAATTATTTTTAAAGCTGTTAGCCTAAGTATTCTCACTCCCTTTTTGAAAAATTTCATTTCCAGCCTTTCTTCCTTCACAGACTCTTTTGTGCTTACCAATTGTTTCGCTCCAAATATCCCTGGCAAGGGATCAAAGGGAAGAAAAGGTACCGATAACTGAACTCGATGTCTCTGCGGAGAAGGCCAAACAATATGCCCTCGAAGTGTACCCCGACACCGACTACGCGCTTATTGTCACGCTCAACTACGAAAATACCCCTTCTATAATGGTGAGCACCAATTCCAAATAGCTTTTCTGCTTACATAGGTCAAGCATAAACGCCGCTTCTGTTTCAGCCTCGAGATCATGGGGGTCGTCAATCACGGCCGCCTGGCTGGGTTGTGGTATTGGGTGAACCGATTGGGAAGGGAGTGGACGAGGGCGGCCTCTTATTAGGAATGAAGAAGACAACCTCTAGGAGGACTGTCTTGCGCTCCACTGTGGTTTCTCTGTCTTTCCGTTTCGACGATACGACAACCACTGTCGAGGGCATCCACGAACTGTCCCTCTATCTCATGTCCGATACCTTTATATCGATGGACCAGCAATTTTCATTCTGTCTCCGCCTTCTTCCTCGCATGAAAGGCAAGGAAGAGCAGGTCAATGATGTGGAGGAATGGGACGAAGACATATAGCGCTCATGAATACCTGTCTGCATTCTATCGAAGTGATTTGTAATTAGCTACATGCTTTTCATTTCAGCTAAACAGTTGTATATCGGCTTCTTCGAAGGAGAACAGCAATTCATCTCATGATATCACCTAGTGCTTTTGCATTCATTATCATTTTAACAATGCTTTGTCAACCACCAAAATCATTTGGCAGTGCATCTTCTTCATCTTAGTATACAGAATTTGACCAAGATCATAAAATTTGTTCATTGAATACAATAGGATAATAGTTTTAAGAGACTAGGAAATAGTAGCGTTAGTATTGATAACGCGCATTCAGAAGCAACAAAAAAGGAAATTCACGTTTCTCAGGGGAAAGAAGATAGGCGAAGATGGGAAGGAGCACATTCATGGTGCAAAGTCAACTAATGCACACTAGCGTCTATGTACAGAAAATTGTGCTCATCGCCCGTCGTCTCATCGGACTGGCCGACCATCTGCAGGAGGAAAGAACAGTCATCAGTCGTGTTTAAGTCAGAAGACACCAAATTTCAAAACTTAATAGGAACCTTGTCCGCGTGGCACAGGCTGAACATTGGCGCCCAAGTGCTGTTGATGTTGCTGTTGTTGTTTCATTGCCACAACCTGAAAGGTTGAGACACATACATGGGAAAATTGGAAAACTTAAGCAGATAAAGAAATGTGTTGGAGTTAACCTCGTGATAGGAGGGAAGAGGTGGTCTTTGCATAGCACCCTGAGGTGAAGGGTGTCGATGAGTCAGAGCCGGTGATGTGATCCCTGGCGGCCCTGGCACACCACCACGCGGGGGCGGTTCGCTAGATCTTCGTACAAATCCACCAACACTCCGCATCTGTTGTTGTTGCTGTTGCTGCTGTATCTTCAACGCCATAGCATAATCATACGTTGGCGGCTGTTTGGTTGGCATCGAGTGCTGAGGTGGCGGTGGTGGTGGAGGAGGAGGTGGTGGTGGTGAGTGAAATCTACTTCGCTGATGGTTTGGTAAAGCCATCTGTTGCTGGCGCGCCACCCACTGCGCTGCAGCCATCGCTGACGCTTGCTGCTGTTGGTGCTGGCGGTATTGTTGATGTTGCTGATGAAGCTGGAGGTGATAAACATTGGCCGTGGCAGGAGACAAGTATCTGCCCTTCTGACCAATCCTCTGATCTCCAGATGTGTAAGCGGACATGCCATTAGGAAGGTAATGCTGATAGTGTACGCCATGATGACAGTACTGTTGTGGGTACAACAGATGCTGGTGATGATGATACTGTTGCTGCGGAGAATACGTCGGAACAGCGCACATTCTCATACGGCGACGGGAGGTTCGCTCCTGCAGAGCGATGAGTTTCCGTGCATCCTCGATCGACTGGTTACCAAAGATAGAGCGGTGAGAAGATATTGTAGCGGTTGCGCTTGATGTGGGAACCATGGGTGCAGATGTTGAAATAATGGCTCCTTGTGGTGGTGTCGGCGGCAGATGAGACTTTGGAGGAGGAGATTCAGTCAAAAAAGTGGATTTCCCACCTATCACTGTCGTGGATGGCGGTGGTGGGTTCAAAGAAGGTGCAGGGGTTGGAGTGGCTTCCTTGGAGGTTGTGCCCCCCGATTCCACCCGATATGAAAGCTGAGATAACCGATCCACGTCTTCAGTTACCCGTAAAGCCGACATATAGGTACGTACCCGCAAGCGCATCTGCCAAGCCGAATACAATGCCTTAATTTTGGCTTTTTTGATCCCACCCCAAGCACTTCCGCCTAAATTCGATACTGTCACCCGAGTTGGTGAAGAGCCAGCACCGGAGGCAGTGGATAAGAGGAGGGATGTGGCACCGCTCATCAATGAGGCAACACTTCCATCAGTGGGCTTCTTCAATTGTACATGTGAGCCTGACGGCGGAAAAGAGTTTAAAAAACCATCAACACTATTTATGGCTTTATGTTTTACGTAGATAACCAACCTTGACCGTTTGCAGAATCGGTGGCAGAAGATGTGGAAACAGTGGAAATGTTGGAAACAGAGGAAGTCGGTGGTGGTTGCTGTTGTTGTGGTGATGAAATATCAATCGTGGCGGCACCACCAGTGATGCCGCCGGAAGCCAACAAAAAAGGGAATTTATTCGAAGTACCTCCTGATTGGAGGAGACGTTGCGCCAATGGGAGGTCATACTCAATGTCACACATTCGACGCAAAGAACGTATCTAGCAGACAAACAAGATTGAATCGTAAAAACTGTGGAAAAGATGTGAATGGCTGAAAATTAAATTAATCAGCTTGGAAATTTGAATCTTCGCTGACCTCCTTGGCAAACATGCGCAGTTTGGCAAAGTTGATGAGCTGCGGGCAGGCGGACGAGGAGGAGGAGGTGGCGGGACTGCGCGATGGGTTGCCTATGTGAATGAAGGTTAGGTCTTTTAATACCAATGGTAGATAAGGTACGAGGGGAAGACATTGCGCTCCTGTTTGCGGCGAATGCGACGGCGAGTTGAGTAGGTTGCGGTAGTGCGCAAAGTTTCGTGAAGGGTCCAACACCAACTGCAGCATTGTAGACAAGTAGACAGTTAACTGACCGAACGGACAGAGGGATTAGATTGACCAGTGGGTTGGTTGAGAATTAGAGAGACGTACACATGCAAAAGTGAATAGAGTTGGTTACTAAGTTGAGTGGATTGACGCGAAGCACCAACGGAAAAAATAAAGATAAAATTTACTAAAAATGTTAGTAAACATAGGCGTGAAGGATGTCGCGCGCAGTTCACACCTCTTATTCAATTCCATATTTTACTTATAGGGAGGGATGAGATGATTAGGCAGCCGTGGGAATATTTACAGTGCTTTCTCACTTCAGTTTGGAGCTAACTTGGCTTAGAGGTGAATGATTCGCTGCAGGTGAAAAATGACAGCTTTCAGTCCCCTTCTTACCACATGACTGCGCGTACCATAGTCGTTAGAATGAGCTGGAAGAATGTGACTTATTGCCACGTCAAAGGCAGATGCTATGACAAGAGTGAAGACAAGATGAGAAACAGATAAGTAAATAGGAACACTGAATGTTGAAGCAGAAATTTAAGTGAAGTTTAAAGGATGGAAGGGGAGGAGCAAGGGAAAAGGAGTAATCTACCACGTAACAGACAAAGAGACGAACAGACGAAGGACGTACAGCAAGGTCGCGGCTCATTTTGACATATTTATTGGGCAGCCGCTCCCAAGTCTGCCGTAGACGTTCCACTGGCGACATATGCAGCCCCACGAGGATGCAGAACATAGTATTGAAATTTCGCAGATCTCTGCACAGCTTTGCTATCTGCAGTCAAAAAATTTAAAAGCAAGTGTGCGCGTACGGTCTAGTGCTGATATCCATTACTAGTTAAATAGACTTATTTGGGGTATCACCAGGCCATGATTAGCAATATAAGGTGCGCCAAAAAAAGGAGTTCGCAGTAGAGGAGCAATTACACACATCATAAAAATGATTCGACCAACTGCCAGACAGGAAGTGTACGATGCATCAAAGGAAGTATCCTAATAATAATCACACAGTTAGCTAAAGCACTGGAAAACCCAATTTCTACACTGCCAGGAATAGAGGAACTTGTGGACGAGTGGGAAATGGTATTACAATTGCTAAGCAATCAGTCATAAGGCAAGGGAGTTGGTTGGCAAATATAAAGTATCCATTCCTCTAAACAACTTACCACCACTTTTAGTCATTCCCTGTTGTGAATCACTGAAGATCATCTTGGCAAACGCATAATTTCCTTTTGGACCGATTTCGAAGTACTGTTCCAAAAACGCGCCTCAAAACACAAAGGCGGTAGGGCCTAACATGCTCGTTCCCAGAGTCCCATACGTAACATGCAGTCTTGGCTATTTTACGATACTATGTTGTACCATCTCATATCACGAGTTGATAAACTGGCTTCAACATGACGAAAGCCACACGATTGTTGGCACCTCTAGTGTCGCAGTTGATGACACCGCAGCTCTGATTAGACTGCTGATAAAAGCGCTTCTACTCACCTTGATGAATCTTTTGAGCATATCAACGCGTTTGGGGAGACTAGTTTCAGCGCACAACTCCGAGGGTACCCAGTAAGCTTCTTTGTTGACCAAGTCCGTGAAGGCGTCCAGATTGCCACAACCTGTTGCGAATCCGCCCCCACCGCTACTGTCGATATTCTCGTTGCTATTACTGCTACAACCATCAGGAGCAGAAGAGGCTGAGGAGGTGAGACCAAACACCTTGTCGACGAATTCTGCGGCTTCGATGGAACGAAAAACAGAAAAATCATCCAATGTTAATTGGATGGCGACCTCCTCCGGTGAGAGCTGTTGATGAAACCAAAGCATTAGCAAGCACTGGAGCTACAGAAATAGCAAAATATGCGTATGTGCGGCTACTTGGGAGAGGGAGACGCGACTCTCTTGGTAAATGCCCTTGGCCACCTCGTCGGTAATAAGGACATCGGACACGCGATTGGGCTTAAGGTAGTAACGCGAGTTCAATGCGATGCGGTTAGCCAAGTCGTCCGTGTTGTCTGCGATCCGACTCTGCTTCATGATGGGTCCCTCGTCCACAGTGACCTTAAACGGTTAGAACAGTCTCAAATAGGTAATCAAACCGATATTCAATGCAATAAGTGGAATGAAGGAGAAAAGGATGAACAGTTGAGGGAAGCGATGGGGAGATAAAATGGAGCTGAGTGGGGGACAGAGGGTAGGAAAAGGAATACGAGACATTCAGTGAAAACAAAAAAAGAGTTTACAGGTCAATAAAGGACAGAGGAAACGGTATGACCAAAAACAGAAAGAAGACAGCTCGGACCTACAACCATTCTGCCGTCAAAAGAGGATAAAAAATGGCATAACACAAAAAGGAAGAGGGAAACTCACTAAACAGAGACAGAATAGTGAGACAACATCGTCGAGATCAATGTTGAATTCCTGCGCAGCAAGACGAACGGCAGTACGCGCTGTGGTGCGCTGGTGGACGGGCACTAGTTTGCTCACTTGGTCCTTCGCTTCCGCGCCTAGTGAGCGCCACACACGGATCACCGACAGCCCACCGGCCTCACCCATCCCTGCTACTGCAGAGGAGGCACCAGACCATAAGGGTGCCTCGCCTTGTAGCTGGTCGCTTCTGCTCCTGCCACTAACCCCGGCAATGGTTAAATCTGGCTGCGAGGAGGAGCGGGTGAGTCCCGAGGAGGATGGGGAGGAGGAGGAAGTGGAGGGAGGAAGGGGTGCTTCAGCAACAGCAGATGGTTTGACGGGAGGAAGAGGAGACCGCAGCTGAGTTACTCCAAGTGGATAGCGAAGTGAAACCGCACCTCGAACGAGGTGTGACTAGACAGAACAGATGAGAGAGCAAGAATGTAACAAGGAGGAAATCATTTCCTAAAAATATCTATCAGTAGCGTATTAATCACTTATGCGTTAAAACAAGCGCTTTACAAATTCTGCAGTTTATTCATAGCATCTACTGTTATGACCTAAGAGTTGCATAATAACAAAGATACCTCTAGACTTAGGTGCCCTAAGAGTCTGATGTGAAAGCATCTAAGATGGAGTTCGGTTACCAGACGAACCTGTTTGACAGGAAGACGTTGATGTTGCTGTTGCTGTTCCATCCAATTGTCAATAGGGCAGGGCATTATTCCGGCAGCTCGGGATGAAGAGTTGATGAGGCTCCTGAGGAAAGAGATACAGTTGGAACTGGTTCAATCACAGTCGACTTCACACATAGCCTTCTGATCCGAGTCCGATTAAATTCAAAGGACATTAAATAATAACCACAGCCTATTCTAAGGTGATTGCAAATAGACACTTGGGCAATCTCACCTAATAAATCTAGCATTGAGGTCAAATACACCTAACACCAGCAAGCACACACATTGCGCATATATATCGAAGCATTTTACGACTCATCAGCAAACATCTGTTTGGAACGTAGCTGTTTAGTTGAGGAGGTTCCTGTTTTTGAACACAAACGCATTGGTATACAATTGCCCGGAAGGAATGAATTTGAAAGCAGGAAAGAGGAGGAAATTCAGAATGAAGTGGAGGATCAACTTACAGAGCCTCTTGAATTGAGGCCACCTCGAATGCAGTAACCTGTTTTCCCCTGGTGGAGATTACTGTGGCGCGGTTTTTGGAGGTCAGTCGGGAGTTCAGTTCGCCCACCTTCGACATGAGCTCGTAGAATTCTGCAACGAAGGGAGAAGGGGGATAATACTTAAGCTCATTTCGGTAAGTTACAAATATAGGGATGGCTAGGCAGATATGACTAGGAGAAAAGTGCAAAGGGAAGTCCCGACCATAAATGGGAGAGGTTATTTAAAGCACAGTGTATAAAACGTGATATGCGGACACCACAATTGCGCAGACACATCTACACGGAAATATCACTTCAAAAAGGAGTTTTTTGTCGATGCTTATTTCCGGAAATAAGTAATACCAAAATGGACTAACAAGGTAGAGAAAAGTCAATGCACTAAAGGACATCGTAAAAAGCGCATTCAAGCCAAGTACGAACTCCTACTTCTACCTTTTCCATAATTTAATTGCATGTGCTTACCACCACCCGTAATTAGTGGTCAACATCTCTATTGCAGACTATTCTAGCCCATTTGGAACACCGTTAATCAAAACAGGTGCGGTTAACATAGATCCATTTAGCGGAGGTTAAAATTCGGATCCACGAATAAACACTCGCACCTAACGGAAAGATTAGGCACTGCACTGCATAACAATTAAACACTCAGCAGTAAAGTATTCAAACAGCATAAACATTTCAAACACCGGTGTAAGTTTGTGTATCATAGCTTTCCTATTGCCGTGGTGGTTACCAGCACATTATCAAAGTAGGCAGTTCTGTGCAAACCCAGACATGGGACACGAAAACGTAACAAAGAACCTTTTTATGGAAAGACTAAATATCCAATATCGTCAGAGCAGTGCCATTACCTGTGTAAACCCAAGGGCACCAGATGACTCGAACTACTTATGACCTAAGTTCCATAAAAGGCGACTTCGAGTTCTGCATTGAAAATGAGTAAAGGCGACCTTAGCTTCACAATCAGTGAGTCATGTATACGCGTTGGGAATGAACAAATTTCCAGAGATGACCTACGCAGTTTATTTTACTAAAGATTATCCAGACTATTCCTAGTTCCAACTGAAATGGAGCTACGGTTAGTAAGAACATGAAAACGCATCAAAAAATCCGATGTGTCAATAAGAGTTACATGTAATGCAATGGTGCGAGGTTGACTTAAACGATTGCGGCCGAGTTTTTCCATGGTGTCCCAGAAACAAATATGAACTCCTTCTCCACACACTTCGGCCGTCTAGCAAACAGTAAAAATCTCACTCTCTATTGAGGCCACTCAAACCTTTGGACTGCTCATAGTCCTGCACCAATACAGTTTACAACTCCCATCCTTGAAAGGTGTTCAATCGTCCTAACAAGGTGGGATAATGGTTTTTGAAGCGTTGGGTGCACTGCGACTTCATTACACAGTTTGAAGGTGCCATTTTACAAGCACATCCGTGTGACCCATCACGATTTGTCGAAACATATACAGACTCTCTCAATCCGTCCAATCGTCATCATGTATACGTTCGTCAACTGGTTTACCTTCCTTGACGTGATTTAGCTTGCCTGCCTTGTCGACCAAATTGAATAAGGTTACAATATTTTCCAGTGCAGTGTCGCGGGAAGACTAAAAACTCGATTACAGTAATGATATACGCCACGGTAGATACGTGAGGCACGCTAAGGGGGGGGGG